AAATTTTCTTTAAAAAGAATCACAAAAATTAACAGAACGAAAAATTGGACAACATGAATATTCTGATAGCCATTAAAAAGACTAAATCAGTAAGCAAAACTCTCTTCCCCACCAAAAAATATCAGGTACTTATGATTTTATGGGTGAGTTATATCTTCAAGGTACAGATAATCTCCAACTTATACACATTATTTCAAGGAATTAGAAAAAAAAAAGAAAAGCTGCTTAGCTCATTTTCAAACGTAGTGTGATGTTGAGATCAGGGAAAATGTAAGAAAAGAAAACTATAGATACATTTCATTTATGAGCACAGCAGCAAAACATTCTAAATAAAATAGTAGCAAATCAAATTCAGCAGTATTTATGTTTAAGTTGGGTTCATCTCAGAAGTGGAAAGATGATTTCAGAAGGAATTCTAAAATCTTTTGATACAGAGATTAAGACAATCTTTATGATTATCTCCATAATTCCAGAAAAAGCATATGTTAAAAAAATCAGTCCATAATTATTTTTAACTAGGAACAGAAGGGAACATTACTCAATATTCAAAACCTACAATAATCATGCAAATTGATGAGACTTTAAAAACACTTGCATTAAAGTCAGGGACCAAATAAAAATATTTCATGTCACCACTTCTATTCAACAGTGTGCTAGACATTCTAGACAATCTAGTAGATGAACAAAAACATAAGAGGTACAAGAATTTGAAAGAAAGCCATGAGGCATATTTATGTACATCTAAAACCTAAATGTAATATTATTTCTAGTAATAAACCAATATAAAATTCTAAAACTAAATTGAAAGTTGGTCCAAATTTTTGCATACAAGTTCAACATAATAACATTCCAAATCCATTACAAAAGCAACACATAAAGCATACTTTTTGCAATGACAAAACAAACAAACAAACAAACATAATTTACCTAAGGATAAACCCAACAAAGTGGTACCAGACAATTGTAAATAAAATAATTCATGATCAAAGTAATGGGAGTCTCAAATAAATGGAGGAGTGTTGAATAAAAGTCATGTTTTTGGATAACTCCTTTATAAAAAAGATACTATAAATTTACAATAAAGCACAAACCAAAAAAAGATATTGACAATGCATATAGTTGATTAGTTACCAGAGTATATAATGGTTGCCTACAAATTAGAGAAAGAGAAAGGAGAGAAGAAAGAAAGAAAGAAAGAAAGAAAGAAAGAAAGAAAGAAAGAAAGAAAGAAAGAAAGAAAGAAAGAAAGAAAGAAAGAAAGAAAGAAAAAGAAAGAAAGAAAGAAAGAAAGAAAGAAAGAAAGAAAAAGAAAGGAAAGAGAAAAAAGAAAAAAAAGGAAGGAAGGAAAAGAGGAAGAAAGGAAAAGAAAAAGGAAGAAAGAGAAAGGAAAGAAAGAAAAAGAAAGAAAAAAAGGGAACTCAATAAAAAATAGGCAAAGTATTGTGGGAGTTGAGGAATGAATAAGCAAAGCATAGAGGATTTTTAGGGCAGTGAAAATTCTGTATGGCACCATAATGATAGGTACATGTCATTATACATTTGTCCAAACCCATGGAATATACAACACCAAGAGAGAACCATAATGTGAACTGTGGACCTTGGGTGATGATGTAGGTTATCAGTGTAGGTTCCTTAGTTGTAACAAATGTACCACTTTTGAGGCAAGGTTAATAATTAATGTGTGGGTACAGGGGTATGTGGGAAGTCTCTGTACCTTCCCCTCAATTTTGTTGTGAACATTAAACTGCTCTAAAAGAATAAAGTCTTAATTTTTAAAAATAGTCAAAGTTATATGAGATGGCAATTTATGGAAGAAGATTGCCTAATGACCAGTAAACCTGAAAAAGTGTTCAATTTTTACCAGTAATCAGAGAAATGCAAAATAAGAAGTTGCCATTTCACATTATGAGATTGGAAAAAATATTTAAAGTCTGACAATACCAAATGGTGACTTGGATGTGGAGCAGGAGAACTTTCAAATCTTTCTGTTGGAAATATTAATTTGTACAAAATATTTGGAGAATAATTGGACAATATTTAGTAGAGATGAACAAAAGAAAGATAAATACCAGATTATCAACAGCAACTCTCATTGGGGATGGAGAGAGGTGAATAGGATCCAAGAAGGGTACATAGGAGGCTTCCACTTTACCTGCCATACTTAATTTCTTTTAAAAATGTGGAGCGAATATGGTAATACATCAAATCTGATAAAACAGGGGGTACAGTGCATTCTCTATTTTAATTTGTATACTTATCTGGGTTTTTTATTCAAAATGGATACCTACCATGTGCCAAACCCTCTTTTAAGAACTGGGGTTAGAGCATTGAACAACAACAACAACAACAAAATCCCCAGCTTCATAGAACTTATGTTCTAGAGGGTGTTTAAAATATTTCATATTTTTTTTTATTTTATTTTTATTTATTTGAGAGAGAGAATGAGATAGAACATGAGAGGGGGGAGGGTCAGAGGGAGAAGCAGACCCCCCGCTGAGCAGGGAGCCCAATGCGGGACTCGATCCTGGGACTCCAGGATCATGACCTGAGCCGAAGGCAGTCGCTTAACCAACTGAACCACCCAGGCGCCCAAAATATTCCATATTTTTAAAAGGAAAAAAGGACTAAGAGAAAGATGAAGAAGTGGATACAACCTTTTTGAGAAAGGTTTGTTGGCATTGTGTAGATTCCAGTTGTGTTTGGTGATCATCAATTTATGGTGGTTAGAAATCTATCCAGGAAAATTATTTTCTCTGGTGGGATTCAACTGCTTGATTGCAAACAAGAAGGAGAAGCAACCGGGTTGGTCCAAAGTTGCAGTTTTTGCCAGGTGGGGAAGTGTCGTTAAAAACCAACGTACAGCAAGGATTCTGAGAAGAGGGCAGAACAGAGAGCACAGGAATCTGTGTTCCCACTTAGATAACAATTGCACTGGCAGAATCTCTCCTGTGTAACTATTTTGGAACTCTGGAGTCAAACAACTTCCAAGGGAAAACTTGGACAGTAAATTGTGGTTAAGTTCAATCAGTTTCAGTTCATAGCATGGTAGCAGCTGTGCATTTTCCACCTCCACATCCTTTCAACATCCCCAAACTGCCCCTTTCCTCTGGCAAGCAGCCATGTATGTGTTCCTAAAACAGCTTGCACAACTTTGGGGAGCCAGGATGGGCAATAAAAATCCTGTCCTTCAAATACTGGGGATCTGTGCACTGATCGCTGATTGCTGCCCTGACCACAATGTGCAGACAGAGAGGAGGACTGCAGCCATTGTTGCAAGCCCCCCCATCCCCCACCCCCATCCCCAGCTGAAGTGACTTTCAGGGCATTTACGAGTCTAGTGACTCCCCTCTTGAATTTTTCTTTCTGTTCCCTATTGGGAGCCAGACATTAAAGACTAGAATATTCAAAAGGAACTGCATATACGGAGACCATTAGAAAGTTACCACACATACCCAGGGAAAGGTGCAGGCTCAGAAAAGACCTGAGAAGACCTTAAGTTTATACCTCAGGCTGATCCTCAGCAAAGAGACAGCCTACAAAAATCAAAGGAAAAAAGAAAAGAAAAGAAAAACAAAAGATAAAAAAAAAATCAGTGAACCCTGGGGCAGGGGAAGAATATGATTTCCAGAGTTACCACATCATTAGAAGCAAATTTTCAGTTTTAAACAATAATACCAACAACAAAACAACCACAAAAAAAATACAAAGAAATAGGAAAGTATGATCCAGTCGAAGGGTCAAAGGGTGAAAAAAGCTGTCCCAGAGGAAAACCAGATGATAGACCTACTAAACAAAGATTAAAAAACAACGGTCTTAAAGATGTTCAAAAAACTAAAAAAAGATGAGAAAGCCAAGTAAACAATGTGTGAACAAAATGGAAATATCTATAAAGAGATGTAAAATGTAAAAACTAAAATTCTAGCTAGTATGTGGAAGCAACACAAAGTGTCCAGATAAGCAAAGTGTGGTATGCATGTACCATGGAATATTACTCAGCCTGGAAAAGGATGGACGTTCTGCCACATGCTAAGGAAGGGATGAGCCTTGTTAGATGACATTATGTCAGTATGGAAGTCTGATGTTGCTTTTCTTGCTCAGTGATTTTAAAGACATTGAGTAGTTCCGGCGTGACCTAAACTGCACTCTTATTCCCACCAAAGGCACGTCTCTTATGTATTGGCTCCTACAGTATTTCAAAGTATTTGAGACATTTCTTTAAATTTTGTACAACCCAAAATGTTGGTGTTTTGTATGGATCACAAATGCAGCATTCCTTAATTATTTCTGCTATTTGTCACAAGTGTCATTTAAAGAACGAAGTATATATTGCATGAAAACATTACGATATTTTCCTCTTGGTTTAAATCAACTCCAAGGTAACTGAAAAAAAATTTGCTAAGAGTTTCAGTTTTGCGAGATGAAGAGAGTTCTGTGTGTTGATGGTGGTGATGGTTGCACAACAGTGTGAATGTACGTGATGCTATTGAACTGTACATTTAAAAATTGGTAATATGGTGAGTTTTATGTTTTGTGTATTTTACCACAATAAAAAAATGGTGGAGGGAAGCAAAGGTACAAGGGCCAAGGGAGTTTAGAGTATTTGCAAGAGAATAGTTGAAATAATGGGTCTTGGAATCCAAACTGGATAGGAAGGAAGTGGAAAAAGGGAGAAAGGGAGAGTTTGCGGGGAATAGACCTTTCATGGAGGTTACAGAAGAGTGAGTGGTAGTAGGGATACCTGAGCAGGCAAGCTGGAAGGCCAAGGTGCTGCTTAGAGAGCTTTGAACTGATTTTGGAGTGAAGCATTTTTTTTTCCCCACTAAATGATACACCTTGGATATTTTTCCATTTCAAAAGTCAAAGTTCTATCTGACCCATTTTAACATACAATTCCATTTTTCAGATGCATCATAATTTAATTAACCAGTCTCTTACTGTAATCTGTTTTGAATTATAGTAAAAAGTTTATTATTTAAACTAATAAATTATGATCCTTACAGAAATCCTCATCAAGAAGCCTCTGACATCTTGAGACATTGGAAGAAGCCCTGTGGTTCCAGAGAAACTCAAGACCAAAGCTACTGACTGGTGCCCCACCACCTCCCCCAACCAAGGAGGAGGCGCAGACTTGAGGTCGACAGCCTCGAATATTCCACTGCACACTCATGTTGGGAGAGAGATCAGGTCATTCTAACTTGCCCATTAATGTATATGAATTACTTAGTTAATTCCACTGAGTTGCTTCTATTTGAAAAGAATTGTATCAGGAACTGGAATAAAAGTGCTGTTCAATAAAGAAGGCATAATTAAATGAGGACATAAGTTATTACAATGTAAAGTTAAATCGGAGGCAGATTTAACATGAAGTGAAAGAAGTGCCAGTGTCAGTGCCCCTCACTTACATGGGCCCCTTCCGATGCTCGGGGAGAGACCCTATAAACATACTTATATGGTCGTACAATCTGGTAAACTTTGCAAAAGTGAGAAGTTTTGTTTTTTTTTTTTTTAAAGATTTTATTTATTTGACAGAGAGAAACACAGCGAAAGAGGGAACACAAGCAGGGGCAGTGGGAGAGGGAGGAGCAGGCTTCCTGCGGAGCAGAGAGCCCGATGCGGGCTCGATCCCAGGACGCTGGGATCATGACCTGAGCTGAAGGCAGACACTTAACGACTGAGCCACCCAGGCGCCCCTGAGAAGTTTTTTTAAAACTACAGTTAAACTGTCTCTTTCCCGTCTTACTTTCCCTACCATTGAAATGGCCAATGACATTTTTGAGACCCAACAAAAAAGTTGTATTGAGGACACATGTAGTTGAGTTTATTGAAATATATGTAGGGGGCTGTGGTCACAAATACTTCCTTTTAGAATGAACTGATTACCAGTTGCACTGGTGTAGGAGTGATTTCTAGAAACATCTTACTACCCCTGTGCTGATTCATTGAGTCCATGGCTTGAGGGTATAGAACAGAGGCTTTACCATGACAAGAACCTGCCCTGTGGCACTCAGCCTAGGAAGTAAGTGGGTCCTGGAGGAGATGCAAGGGTCTGACGTCTGTGCAGCCAGAAAGGAGTCTGGAGAATTCCTCCATTCAGATGTGTAGAACTGTAAACAGTGATTTGGTTCTCAACAGAGCCTGGTCAGAACAGAACTTTCCAAAGTCAAGAATACTCTTAATAACACAGCATAAGTGGTTATACACTTGTTATACACATGCACCATCCATTCTTTTTGTTGGTAATTGTACAAAATGATAGAATATACAGGTCTTGAGGCACAACCCAGAGGCAGTACTACAAAGAGGGAGTCCATCTATATGTGAAATTCTATATTCTAGTCATTCCAGTTATCAACAATAAAAACATGTGACCAGCCAATACAGAAGAAAGACCAGTAGCTACTGAATGAAAATGTTATTTTTCTGGATTTTGAAATATTCGTTGTATTCATTAACTCGTTAAGACTTGATTTTGTTGTGATTTCTTTTTCTAAATAAATATGCATTTTCATATCTGATTTGGTATTAATCACTTTCAATTATTTTTCCTAAAGAGGTCCCCCCAAATTGCTTAAACTTCAGGGTCTATGGAATCTGGATCTGCCCCAGTACAAAGCAATGAGCCTGATGAGAGAGAAACGTAAGGGGGTCTGAGGGAGTTCTGAGAAGGAAGACATTATTCATGACCGAGATGATCAAAGCAAGGTTTTATCTGAGCTATGATGGAGCGGAAGAACTTGAATTCAGAGATATGGCGAATGATGTTCTAAACGAAAAAACGAATGCTTCATAACATTTTCTTAAGTTTACACACAGTATAGTTTTAATGAGTTAAGCATATGGCTATTCCAATATCCTTCTACACTTAACGTTTACAAACACATTTTAATGAAAGAAGATCTTGCTGGAAAGAGGATTTATTCACAGTGTAGTTTCAATGAGTTAACCATACGGCTATTCCCATATGCTTCTTCACATATGTTTACAAACACTTATGTCTTTTTACTTACGTATTTTTTTTTTATTTTTTAAAGTTTTCATTTTAATTCCAGTTAGTTAACATACAGGGTTACATTAGTTTCAAGTGTTCCATATAATAACATTTCTGTACATCACCCTGTGCATTTCTTCATAACTTTTTAATAATTTCTATCCCTGGTTCTACTCACTCAAATACTGTTTGTCATTGACACATCCCCTTCTCCACCTTCACATCCTTTCTGATTCCATATTTAAAAACCTTTTCTGCTGGTGTTCTGTGGACATGGGTTCAAGTAACAGATTAGTGCAAACTTGGTGGGTGTTCAAGAAAGAGAATTTTTCAGGATGGATTCTGCGTTTGAATTTAAACCTAGCGAAATGTGACAGTTCTGTAATGCAGTCCAGGTCCTATTTCATAAATTAAGACAAACACAAATACTTTATAAACAAAGCAAACTTTCTCCCCTGTTATTTAATTATGATATAATTGGTGAACAGGAGTTAGAGAAAGTCCTATTTTTGAGCTCTAGGCTGGAGTCTCCCTCACATATTCATGAGAAGGAGACAAATCATAATCTGCAGAAGTCAAGGGCAAGAAGAGTTTCTTCTATGCAGCAGTATGGCCATACCGTATCCATGACTTAAGATTGTGTTGTGTGCATGTGTGTGTGAGAGAGAGACAGACATAGAAAGACTGAGAACAGAGACCAAGCTGAGACAGACCAACCATGTTCTGCAAAGGGTAGAGATCCCTGCAGGAAGTGCCTGGTACTCTGTGTCTCCAGTTACTTCTTTCCCCATCTGGACCCACTTTTGCCGCTGGTAGGCTCAGCCTTCTACAGGTCTGGTGACTCATCAGGCAGTCCCAGGCCCCTTGAGTTGGGATGACTCAGCATTGAGTGAGTTTACTATGAACCTAGCTGACATCAGCAGGGAGAAGACAGGAGGACAAACATAGACAGTCAGTCCCTGGGGTCTGAGAAACAAGGCTAGAGGCAGATCAAACAGCTGAGTAGTCGCTGAGTCATGGAAGGAAGAACCAGGAGCCACAACTCCAGAGATGGGAATATGGGAGCGATGAATTCTGATAGTTGACTCCCTTCTTGTCCAGTCATCTGACTAGTCCTTCCTTAACATCACACCTCAGTTCTAGGGATGGCTCCTGCTTTGTGCTAATGACTAATCTGCTTTCCATTCACTTCTGCCTTGATTTTCCAGGTCCCTCAGGATTGGTGGCTGAGCTCTGGATTTCTGAGCCATGTTACCTGCAGCCAGGATGACCCTGCCATCTTTTCCCAGTGCCAGCATTGTTGTATGTGATCCTGGCCAGGCTCCAGTCCTTGCGCTCTGCCAGCCTCTTGGGCTACGGGAGGGACTTTAGTATTTGCCATTGAATGCAATTTCCTCCTTACAACTATCCTCTAAGACAGGTATGTGATCTGTTTTACAGGTAAGGAAGCAGCAGGTCCCACAGATGATCATCTTCACTCTAGTTTTAGTCTACTTGATCCTACTTTCATGAAATGTGCTTCCTTTGCCATTCTTCAGAATTGGAGATAATAATATCTACAGGAATGTTTTAAGGATTAAATTAAATCCTCGGTATGAAAGTGCCTAATGTTATACTTAACAAATAGTTTCCTTATTGCCTCCTATTCTGACTTGTACTAGAAACCCTGGCTCCACTGACAGAATCTGGGCTTGGCACACATCTAGTGCAGCTATAGAGCCCATAGTAGGTTGTAGTAAGTGCTGGATGGATGAATTAATGGCTAGTCAATGGAAGCATTTAAATTCCACTTACGATTTGTGAAAACCTGAAGACCATCCTTTACCCCCTATACTGTGCTCCTCTTGACTGCCTACTGTTTGGGTCCATAATCTGAACATTAGATCAGCTCCTTCACTGGATTTCTCTTCACCTTCAGCTGAGCCTCCTCAGCTCATCCTCACCTGTGCACAAGAACATGCTTCTCTGTGTTGCATGTGCCTACTTACCAGATCCCAAGGCTCTCACAGCTTGCCTGTGCCTTTTCTTTCCAAGTCGCCATCCTAATATTCTGGACTAAAGAGGCCGAACAAGAGGGAATGCCTGGGTGGTCCTGAAGGGGCCAGTCTACTGAGACGTAGACTTGCGTAGGACACAGGCAGCACTCAGCTGCCGCATGGTTAGACCCCGGCTGTGCAAGGCCACCTGCTGGCTCAGCGCCTTTCCAAATAATTAAGCAATCTACTAAGAGCCTGGAGTTTGGAATCAGAGAAAAAAAGCTTTGGATAGAAGTACAAGTAAGAATTCTATAGACTCTTTTTCTGCTAGCCAGCAGTTCCATTAAGGAAATGTATCTTAGTGTTTTGGAAGCATGAAGATTTTAGTTCAGTCATAGACACTTCCAGCCATTACTCAGTCCTCAGTCAGCAGATTCAAAGGAAGCTAGGAGGGAAAAACCTAGGGCTCTGGGCCATCTGTAAAACCTTGGCACAACTGCAGCCATGCCAGGAAGAAGATGCCTGGCGCCCTGTTGCACCTTGTTAGGGGTCACAAGAATAATACCTGGTAATCAAGGCAAAAATTGCCTTTAGATCTTGATTGATCTCCAAAATTAAGAATCCTGGAAAGGGATAAAAAAGTCCACAGATAAGTCTCTAAAGAATGACCCAATGATGGAGCAAATTCCCTGTTTTAAAGCTCTCCTTTCGCATGGCTGGGACCACTGAGTGGACTATTTGGAGACTCGACTTTGCCCCAGGCTCTAAGACCAATTCCATTCCTAGTCAGGAAGAATATAGGAAACCTTTAGGTGTCAGTTTGGGGGCTCAGTATTAAGTCAGCCTTGCTCTAGTACCTACTGTGAACTTGCATGCTTGAATCTGGTAAATGGATTCTTACTTTATGCTTTTTGGTCAGTTCACACCTGTGACTCAGAAATTCCAGATCTTCATCCTTATCTTAACTCCTGCACACCTGAGTTCCTCCCTGACTGCATTTTTAGGACTAGAAGCTTGCCTTGCTATCACAAGAACTTGCAGGAAGAAGACTCCTCTGTTGCTTGGCAAGTCTAAAGTAGAATTAGCTTGCTCAGTGCTGACAGTTTTGCACCATAACCCCACCCATAGTTCCATCTGTCCAGACCTGAAGCTCAACTGTGCCCTGATCATGAAAGACTAGAATTGGGTAAATGAATTCATCCATGTCCAACATTTATATCTGCATGTAAAAATCTGGCTTCTAATTCTGCATGCATTCATTCCCATCAGCCTTTCAAGACCTTGGTACTTCACCATATGCCTTCATTTCAAAAAACTAGCCAGTTAAGGAACTTTAACTGCTGTGATGCAATAAAATTTCCCTAAACAATAACTATATAGAGGATCACTTCCAAGACTGAGATTTTGTTATCTCATTTCAGGCATTCTAAATTAAACCCTGGAGAAATATTTTACTGCTAATAAATAATCACTGGTTGTAATAATATGTTATTGCTGAGATAATAGGTTCCATTAATATCTATTCATGTTATTGTAACTGGGAAATAAGACCTGAGAATACTACTCTGTGTCCCAGTATTGAGGAAAAACAAATGTTAATTTCCATAGTGTCATGTTTGGTTTAAGTTATTTATTCTAAAATATAGGCGTGTGTTCACCTTCAGTATAATGAATTCATTTGTTATCCAGCCACATTTGATTTTGATCAAATTTCTCTCCAAAAAACATTTTATGTGATAGGACACAGGAAAACAAAACAGTCCATGACTTAACGGTTGATAAATAACATATGTAAATTTACTAAAAGGGAGTGTTGGGGCACCTGGGTAGCTCAGTCAGTTAAGCATCTGACTCTTGGCTTCAGCTAAGGTCATGATCTCAGGGTCATGAGATCGAGCTGTGTGTCAGGCTCCACATTCAGCATGGAGTCTGCTTGAGATTCTTTCCCCTTCCTCTCCCTCCCCCTCTGCTCCTCTCCCCCCACTCTCTCTCTAAAATAAATAAAACCTTTTAACAAAAAGAGTGTTGATTAAATCTTTACATTTAAAAATATATATATCTATAATGTAAATCTATAATAAACTTTAAAATTCATATCTTGAAGGTTTAAAAAAATCTTAGCTCAGATTCTTGTGTGTTTCCTCCCTGCTGGGCTACATTTCAGAATGTGTTGATTTTTTTTAAGTCCTGAATCTTTTATATATTCCAATTTTTAACAAATATTATATCAACTCTTCTGGTGGAAAGTCAAAGCCTCTGATTGACTTCTAAGGTTTGATTTGAGTTTTTATTTTATTTATTTATTTTTTTTATTTTTATTATGTTATGTTAGTCACCATACAATACATCATTGGTTTTTGATGTGGTGATCCACGATCCATTGTTTTTGTATAAAACCCAGTGCTCCATGCAGTACGTGCCCTCCTTAATACCCATCACTGGACTAATCAATCCCCCCTCCCCCCTCCCCTCTAAAACCCTGTTTGTTTCTCAGAGTCCATAGTCTCTCATGGTTCATCTCTCCCTCCAATTTCCCCCTCTCCCATTTTTC